TAGGGCAGCCCCGATATTTAACGGGTTGCCTGGCTGTGGGTCCTCACCCGCGCGCTTACAAGGGACTTATTAATACTCCACTACAGGCACACACAAAAGGTTAATAAAAGGTTTATTTATAAGGGAAAAGGAAATAAGGAAAATGTACAACTCAGGGAGAAAAGAGGGAAATAAAGTCTTTCATGCGTCCTACCCGATCCGCCAACCTGGAAACCCAAAGCCACTCTCAGAGCTGACTGGACGCTGCGAGCTGGTGGAGAGCCAAAATGGGGGAACCCCTCCAAAGCCCACGTGTCTGGCTTTATACCAACCTGGCTGCTTAACCCCACCCTCAGGTCCCAGCCATCTTCCCTTTGGTGGTGATGGGATTTGGAGTTCCCAGTGTCTTTGGCTTTGGCCTGGGGTGGGGGTGGAGTCCACACAGCCTGTATGGAATTAGCTTTAGGACATCCTGTTCCCCCTAACACTATCACTGCTACTGCCTGAGTTCCATCCCTGGCCAGGGAATTGGCCCACATAAGGTACGGTACAGCAGACCTCTCTTGTCTCACCTACCTTAGCAGCGTATTTCAGTGGATATGCCTTTCTGCTCCCTACTCTGTCTCTGGTGGGTCTTCTCACACCTGGCACCTCTGGCTTACACCCCAGTTCTTCTACACACACACACACACACACACACACACACACACACACACACACACAAAATAACAATAAAGTAAAATAACAAATGGTAACTGTTAGGTCAACTATGGGGTGAAGGGGGTCTTACATAAGCAGAAAACAAATTCACCCTTTAGTTTGTAGTAGTAAACACAACATACATATGCCAATAATGCCTAATATTCCTATCAGCAAGGTAATCTGGTAATATCTAAGGTGAGATCCACTTAAAGATGAGGTTATTATACCATAATGATCAGATTCTGTTTACCTTAGAAGCATGAAGTCTTTTATTTTAACCTGCTATATAACTTCAGACTCTACTCATGCTTTTTACACTTTATCTACCAGATTTTTTCACGTCCCTAATGAAACTAGCATAAGATAGTGACTATGTCACATCTCCTCAAAGGGTTCTAATGCCTCTTTATAATCCACCCCTCCCTACTTACTTTTTTAAAAAAAGATTTATTTTATTTTATTTATACATACAAGAACTGGGGTGTATGCCAGAGGTGTGGGTTGGGGGAAGGGGTGAGAGAATTCATCAGAGACAGAGCGGGGAGCAGAACAGGTGGATCTACTGAAACACACTGCTGAGGGGAGCAGCAGGCGAGACAGGACAGGTCTGCTGCGCCATGTGGGTTAGCTCCCTGCCAGGGGATGGAACTCAGGCCGCTAGTGTGTAGATTTTAATGCCTGTGTCACCATTTTCTATTTCTTCTTTTATCATTGTTGGAAGGGTGTTTTTTCCTAGCAACTTCTTCAATAATATCCTTATCTTTCTAATGTCTTTAGAACCTGTAGTGATGGCCTCATCAGTACAGTTTTGTACTTTCACATTTATCCTTTCCATGTTCTTAGGTTTTGTTTTATAAACAATGTGGTTAGATTGAGTTTATTTTAAAGTGGTTCTCTAAAGTCTTTTAACTATACTCTATTTACATTTTAATGGTGTTAGTGAGGGTGGAGATATGAGGCATTAACTTTTTGGCTTCCAAATCATTTTTACCATTAACTAAAAACAAAATTACAAAAACCAAACAATTCTCTAGATGGATTAATGAAGCAATTCAGAACTCCCAATGACACCATTTCCTCTACTTGAATAAAAATAAATACATCAAATTGCTAGGGATCCCTTTAATGTGTAGCCTCTTAGACCACAATCTGACACTTTCACTTCAGACTTAGCTGCTTAAAAAAAGGGGTAGGCGCTTTCAGGGGAGAAGAAAAAAAGATTTTTGTCCTCTAGAGCAAAGAATCTAAGATAAAGAATCTGACAGTAACACTTACATAGTGGTTTCTATGTGTCACTTTTAAAGAACCATAAGTATATTCATGCACTTAACCCTCACAAATATTCCAAGGTAGTGTTCTATTACTGTCTTCATTTTAGAGCTGAGGAAACATCGTGTAGTTACTCAGTAAATGCTGTTTAAATTCAAATGCAGGGCCTCTGGGTGCCCGCAGCCTCTGCAGCGCTGCTGGTTCAATCCACTGCTGCTCCCCAGCCACCGGAGGAGGGAGGGTCCCACATGGCCCTCAGACCTCTCCTGCTGCCCGCTGCTCCCCTCAGCAGTGTACTTCGGTCCTTCTGCCTGCTCTGCTCCCTGCTCTGGCTCTGGTGAATTCTCTCACCCTCCCGCGCTTCTGACTATACCCTCAGTGCTTGTATAAATAAATAAATAAATAAATCTTCTAAATAAATGAATAAATAAATTCAAATGCAGACATTTCAGAAGTCATGCACTTAACCATTTCTTTATTATTTTTTAATAATACATAGAAGAACTGGGGTGTAGGCCAGAGGTGTGGGGGATGAGAAGATTCACCAGAGACAGAGTAGGGAGCAGAACAAGCAAGACAGGAGAGATCTGCTGTACCATATGTGGGTTAGCTCCCTGGCTAGGGATCAAATTCAGGCAGTACTGGTGATAGCACTGAGATTTAACCCGTACGCTACCAGAGAGGCCCCCCACAAAACCATTACAAATGTGTATTACTCTGCTAGGTAACCAATAAGCCCTCCAAGGTCTCTGGCTCTGCATCCTATCATCGGGAGACCAAAGTTACCAAAGTCCGATGATTTTCTCTGCCAGGCCATGGATTTTAGGTGATTTGTCTACAACCTACTATGTTTCAAGTAGTATCTTCTTATGACCTCTTTAAGAAACCTAACCAGTGGATCCACGTCTGGCAGGTCACCTAAAAATGTTCCTAGGAAGATTATCAATTCAACTCTTAGTTAAAGCCAAGAGATTTTTCAGTTCTTACATGCTCTATGTGCAACAGCTTAAATGTGCTAGTATCTCTCAAAAGAGTTATTTAGTGAGAGTGCCCACAAAATGTATGACATTAAACTATTAACTTGACAAAACAGCATATTCTGTCTTTGCAAGCTTAACTTTTGCCATCATTTAAAGAGCCACCCTCAAGTAGTAAAACTATTTTGGCTGATCAAACTACAAGGAAAAAATGATTCTCAAATATCTAAAGAAAGGAAGTTACGCTTTAAGTCTTTCTTAGATTCAGGAACCTTAGATTCAGGGAACTTATGTACCCCCACACCCCCAAAAAGCCCAACCTTAAAATCTGTCATTTTTGCCCCCAAGGACTCGGGGAAAAAATCCCCTTCCTTTTATTAAGAAGGTGTGCTTACAGAGAAAGTAGTAAAGCGTAACAATTTTGTAACAATTTGTTGATCGTTTTATAAGAATCTTGTCATTCATTAGTTCTTCCTAAGACACAGATTTTCTAGACAATCTGATCACAATCTTTTTTTTTTTTTTTTAACCAAAAAACATCACCAACACCGTGGAGTTTTCCCCGTCTCTGAAATTAGGGAAACACTAAGCTTCCTCATATTTATAAAAGTAACCGCCTTCCTATAACATTAGTGCTTAAAACTGAGTCTGGCACATAGTAAAGAACTATGTTAGACGTTTTAAATGTCACACAAAGGCTGAAAAGTGAAACGTGACGTTTTAGCTAACATAATGATTTTCTAGGAGAACCCAAGCTACAGACCGCCTTCAAGTCCTGGCAGCACGTGTACTTCTGGAGTCCCTTCTCCAGCCGCTTTTTTTTTTTTTGTAAGGGGGAGCAGCAAGGGGAGCCCCACATTCCCGAAACGGCCACTGGCCCACACCCCGGGGCCAGGGTCTCGGTGGGGCCCAGCTCATTGGTCCTGCCTTTCCGAAGCGGCCCGCGGGTGCCCGCAGCACCTCCACACTGGGCGCCGAGTGCGCGGAGAGCCTGGAAGGACAAGGAGCAGCCAGAGACGAGCGCGGGGGAACAGGCCCAAGCACCTTCGGAATCGCCCGTGCTTTTACTTGCGCTTGGATTTCCAGTAAGATCGCCGCGAGACCTCTCCACGCCTCGGCGCCCAGTTCCGCTCTCTCGCGTGAATGCCCCGGGTGGGAGGCTGGGGCCCGGGATCCCTCTGCGGGCTTAGCATGAAAGGTTCGGACCCGCTCCCGGCCAGCCCGCAAACGCAGCGAGCCGCGGTGCACGCCGCAACCTCTCCCAGACCCGCCGACTCCGTTAACAGGTTACACTCCCCAAGGTCAAGAGGCTCGCGAGCCTCGCCGGCGGGCTCCGCGGCCGCCTCCCGGGGCCGCCCGACAGGCTTCTGGTGCAGAGCACGCCAGGGCGGCGGTGGGGCCCAGCACTGCGCCACCGCCGCGCGCGCCCAATCCCCGCGCCACATGCTGTCAGCGCGGACCGCGGGCGGGAGGCCTGCTCGCCGGCCCCTCAGCCCCGGCCGGGGGGCGCCCGCCGCCCCCTCGCCCGGCGAGCACGAGTCCGGCTCCCGCCCCGCTCGCTCCCCCTCCGCTCCCCGCGGCGGGCACGCCCGAAAAGAGCGCCTGACTAAGCGCGCCGAGCCACACCTGCCGCGAAGAAACCCGCGTGGCGCCCCTCACCCCCTCCGGGCGCCCCCACCCGCCGCCCCGCCGCGCCAACCCCCGAGGGCCGGGGCCGGGGGCGCGGGCCGCCCCAGCACCCCGGGCGCCGCAGCCCGCCGCCCGGCCGGGGACGTTACCTGAGCACGCGGCGGGGCCGGCCTCCTCGCCTCTCCCCTCCCCCGGCAGCGCCCGGCAACGGCGGCGGGAGAAGCCGAACGGCCCCGGCCACGCGTGGACGCGCCCGCTCCCCCCCCCGGCGCCCGGTGCCTCTGCGCGGCCGCCGGGGAGACCCCGCCCGCGGACCTGCCCCACCTAAGGGCTGCGGGATCCGACGCCCGGCCCCCGCCCACGCGGCCCGAGCCCGCCAGGCGGCCCCCGCCCCGGCCCCGGCCCCGGCCCCGGCCGCGCCGCGGGCGAGCCCCGCCGACCCACCTCGGGATGGTGCGGAGATCCCCAGATCCTTGGCTCGCGTCGGGCTGCTGCCGGGAGAACCAGACCTCCAGCAGCTTCTCGGTGCCTTCGAAAAAATGTGCAGCTTCCATCACCGTGAGACTAGCGAACAACCAACAACCACAGAAAATCAACTAAATTAAATCTCTTCTCCCGCCGCCGCCGCTGCGGATTGTTCCAGCTGTGTTACTAAAGTTCAGGTTCCTTTTTTTTTTTTTTTGCTATAATTTTATATTAACTTTTTTTAAAAAAAGGATTAATAAAATTTTCCCGGCTTTTTTGTGTGTGTGTGTGTTTGTGTGTGTGTGTGAGCGAAAGTTGAACGAGTCTGTTGGAAAGAGGCAGATACAGTCCAGTCTCTTGCACTCCGCTGTTTCCCCGTGAAAGAGCGTAGAGCGAGCGCTAGCTAATGTCGCCGGCCATACTGTGGAAGCGAGGGCGCTGCGTGAGCGCGCCCCTTATATACCCCGTCTCCTCGCAAGGACAGGAAGTGACGCCGCGTCCCGCCCCTGAGGCTCATAGCTGCAGCGACCTGTCAATCAGCGCCCGCCCAGTTGCGGCTGGCTGGTCACCCGCCCGCGAGGAGCGCGGGGAGCTGCCCGCCTCGGTGCGGTTTGGGTTGGCGCTGGCCCCTGGGCGGGAGACGGCGCTGTGTCGTCCGGCTGGGGGTTCGGAGCCCGGGGCCGAATGCAGGGCGGGTGAGGGGAGCGGGAACCGAGTGAGGAGAGGCTGGGCAGCGCTGCGTAAAACAACTGGTTAGCAGAGAAAATGGGTGGGTCGGGAGGAGGGAGGGTCGGGCGCGGCGGAGACCGTGGCCACCGCGGGCTGGCGGGCTGTTTTTGATCCAGTGCAGTTAACCGCGATTGCTGAGGCGCTTGACCGTTCTCGAAAGTGTGTTTTCCCGGAGACGAACGGAGCGGGGCTTCAAAAACTCAGCATTTGTCCGTGACGCACTCGTTGCCAAGGGTCGGAGAAGAAGGCGCTTGAATTCTGCTCACGCCTTGGTTGGTGTGCGGGTGAGCGGAGTTCTCCACTGGCTGACACAATAGCCAGAAGCGTTGTCTCCCTGTTTAAAAAGAGAAAAGCAACGTGGCGCCCGATCAGGGAAGACTCCGGCTCTACCTACCTCCCACCGTGCAGCTCTCCAAGCCTTGAAATTGGCTGAGAGCTGCAGCTGCCGTGAAGCACTGGCAACTCTGAAATGCACTAGGTCAACGGGTGGGAATTTATTCTGCAAAACTATCTCTAGGAAGTGGATTTATTAAATATAATCTAAAATTGTTTGGTAATATTTTTCTTTGAATTTTCTTACACTGATGAACTCATTGAAAGGGGTCACCTCCTCCCCCCGCCTCCAAAATTTACTGTGCTATCTATCATGTCACCTGCTTCAGAAAAATTTATGTGGAAATGTATAATACAAGTGGTGATTTAGAGAACCATATAGCTAATATTTTCAGTAATCAACGTAAACTGTTAAATAGTTGTCAAGTTATAGTCAAATAGTTTAATCCGAGGTGGCAAAATTGTAACAAAGTTAATGGCTTTTGCTAGGAAATATGGGAGGAAAAAAACAGTCTGACACAAAAATTACCATTGTCACTAGACAAAAGACTTTTCCTGAACATCTTTGGAGAAAGACTTCCCTCAACTAAAAGTGAAATACGACACTGCTGTAAAACGAAAAAATGTACTAAAAAAATCCCCGAGGTTCCCTGCAGGGTAATACTTGTCTTACATGACCGTGAATTTGTTTTCATTCTTCATGAAATGTGATAGGTGCATACACTACTTGTGCCATGTTTTTAAAAGCATCTGATCAAACTGGGGACAGAAGATAATAAATGTTACTTATTGTATTATAATAATAATTAAAAGGATGTGGTGGCAATACTTTAAAGATTAAAGAAGTATTTAAGTGTTTTACAAGCTATTCAATTATTTGATGGTTGGTTATTGAAAAGAAGTCTGTCTACTAAACCACCTCAAACATGAACTGTGGTATAAACATAATTTGGCTTATAATTGCTTATAATTAGTTGCTTTTCAATTACTATTACACTTTTTCCCAATGTAATTTAAGATAGTATAAAAGTGCCAAGAATCTTGGCAAGGTAAATCCTTGTTAATTTGATATAGGATAATTTAGTGTCTATTGACTGGACTAGTACTTTGTAAAACATTTTTTCTTAAACACCATTACTATGTATTTAGTGGATTAAGAAACTACATATCATAAAATTTTCATTTTGCCTCATTACTATCTGAACTTAATTACTAAGTTGGTCAGTTAATCTTATTGAAATACTTCACTGGCCTCATTATGTCCAAAGCATATGTATCATCATTCCTTTCTCCTCAGCTCCATTTTTAAGAGTGACTCTTTTTCCTACTTTACCAGTTTAAAAAATTGCTTACTGAACATTTTGCACTTAAAGCATTGCTTTAAGGATTTAAAGAACTCCCATCCCTTCAACCTTCTTAAGCCATATTGTAGACACACACACCCATGTTCACTTTTACTAACCTTCCTACTAAGATCCTACTAAAATTTTAAAAATCCTTATTTGACTCCACTTCAGTCTTCGGTTCTCACCCATATCTGTCCTCTTCTTCACAGCCAAAATCCCTAAGAGACCTAAAAACATGGCTCTACTTTTGGTCTTCAACTAGCATCCCTTCTTCAGTCCTTCTGAATGGGTATTTACCTCAACCATCTGAATAAAATGATTCTTCTCAACATCCACGCTGTGTCAAAACCAATGGTTCAAAGAGTGGTGTCAATACTTATTTTACTCAGTCTTTCAATAACTTGTGATACAATTAGCTACACCTTCATTCTTGAAACAATTCTCCGGCTTTTTGTGGATTTTCTGCTACACCTAGATATCCTTTCAATGCTGGAGTGTCCTTGGCTTCTGCTCTGCCCCCTCCCTAAGTAACCTACTTTCTCCAGTTCATGGCTTTAGGACAGATCCAAATACTTTACTATTACCGCCCTCTTAGTTCAGAGCACTAAAATTAGTTCCCTGGAACCACAAAAGGCCCTGAAAAGCTAGAGAAATCCTAAGAAAAAAGAATGGAGGTATTGCACTTCCTGACTTCGAACTACATAGCAACATAATCAAACAGTATGGTATTGGAACGAAAACAAAAACTCAGACCAATGAAATAGAGAAGGCATAGAGATAAACACATACAAAAATGGATCATTAGGGGGCCCTCCCTGGTGGCACACCGGGTTAAGCATCATGCACTATGAAGCAATCCACAGCTACTGCAGCACGAGTTTGATCCCCTGCCAGGGAGGTGACCCACATGGTTCAGCAGACCTCCCCTTACTCGTCCGCTGCTCCCCTCAGCAGTGTATTTCAGTCAATCTGCCTGTTTTGCTCTCCACTCTGTCTCTAGAGAATCCTCTCACCTGCACACACACACCCCGGCCCCCCCCCTCCCCGTCCTGGACCACCACCACACCTCTAGCCTATACCCCAGTTTTGGTATGCATAATAAATCTTTTTTAAAAAAATGGACAGTTGATCTTTGACAAAGAAATCATAGCCATATAATGGAGAAAAGAAAGCCTCTTTAACACATGGTACAGGGAAACATGGATAGTCATAAGGGAAAAATACGAACCAAATCCACACTTAACTCCACACACAAAAATTAATTCAAAATAGATTGAAGAACTGAGACTATAAAATACTTGAAAGAAAACATAAGGACATACTACAGGACATCTGCCACAAAGATATATTCGGGGGCTCAACTTCAATGGTAAAGAAAACAAAAGCAAAAATAACAAGTGGGACTACATCAAACTAAAAAGCTTTGAGTAGTAGAGATGAGCTTACAAAAGAATTAGTCAAGGATCAGAACATGTAGGGGTTCAAAGGCTTGGGTAAGGAATTTTGACTTTAAGTGTGATGGGAAACCATTGGAGAATTTTAAAATATTAAAACAGGAGTATTGTCATAATTGGATTTATGTTGAAAAAAAAATTCTGGGTACTTTTTGATAAATCATCTAAGGGGGACAAAGTGAAGGCAAGGATACTAGAACATTATGGCAATAGTCTAGGGAAATAAATTTGTTTTTTTTTAAATATTTTTTTATGCATACAAGAACTGGGTTACAGGCCAGAGGTGCGGGGGGTGAGAGGACCCACCAGAGACAAAGCCGGGTACAGAACAGGGGATGGGCTGAAATACACTGCTGAGGGGAGTAGCAAGGGAGAAAGGAGAGATCTGCTGTGCCATGTGGGTTGCTCCCTGACCGTCCGGGGATCCAACTCGTGCTGCAGAGACTGTGGACCACTTCATAGTGTGGTGCTTAACTCCTTTTATCATCAGGGAGGCCCCTGTTTCATTATTTTAAATTTTAATTTTGGAGTTACAGTTTTGCTCCTCCATATGTATACATGTTCCATTCACCTCCACCAAACCACCGGTGCCAATACCCCATCTTCCTCCCTCCTCCGTCCCTTCTTCTTTCCTCCCAACCCCTCTGGCAAACATTCAATTCTTTCCCTAAGTCCAAGATTTATCCCTTCTGTATTTTGTCTGTGTATGTTTTTTGGCTATTTATATTCCACAGATGAATGAAACCATCTCAGTCTCTCATTTTTTGACTATTTCATTTAGCATAATTACTTTCAGGTCCATTCATTTTGTCCCCAAAGCCACTATTTCATCTTTCTAAATAGCTGTGCAGTATTCTACTGAGTGTATATTCCATAGTTTCTTTATCTATTTGTCTTTCGGAGGGCACTTAAAGTGGTTCCATGACTTGGCAATTGTGGACAATGCTGCTATAAACATAGACATACATCAATCTTTTTCTATTAGGGTTTCCATATTTTTAGGATAAATACCTAATAGATGTATTGCAGAATCATACAGAATTTCCAATTTCAGAGACCCAGGTTCCTTTTACCATGTTTCTTACCTTAGGGTGCAAATCTTTATTGATGTGAATCAAATTGGCCACATCTGTCTACATTCCAGCCTAGAAATGGAGGAAAAGGGAAAGTGGAGGAAAAAAATTCCTTATAAAAGCAAGATCTAGGCATTGTAATGTAAGTTCTGTTCACTTAAATTACACACTTAATACTTCTCCAAAGAGAAAATGTAAATGGTCTATGAAAAAATGTTCAACATAACTTACAATCAGGGAAATGCAAACCAAAACAACAATGAGAGAACACCTCACACAGGTGAGAATTGCCCATATTAAAAAAAGTGGCAACAACAAATGCTGGGGAGCATGTGGAGAAAAAAGGAACTCTGCTACACTGCTGGTGGGAATGCAAACTGGTCCAACCACTATGGAAAGGTGTATGGAGGACCCTCAAACTACTAAAAATGGTGCTACCATATGACCCAGCAATTCCACTCCTAGGAATCTACCCAAAGGACACAAAAACAATTCAATAGGATACCTGCATCCCTA